AACTCACGAACCGTGAGATCATGACCTGAGCCAAAATCAAGAGTCAGACGCTTAACCGACTGAGCCACCCAGGCACCCCAAAATCAATTTATTTCATAAACCATATGAATAGTCAAGTTATCTGTTTCTTCATAAGTGAACTTTGGTAGTGTCTTGCAAGGAATTTATTCAGAGTCTCTTGTGATGTCATCTCTCTCATTCTTCAAATCGGTAATTTGTGTCTTTGCTATTTTTGTTTCCTGATCACTCTAGCTAAGGCTTTTTTTTTTTTTTTTTAAGGTTCAATCTGATAGTCTCCACCTTTTAAGTGGGGACATTGGTACTATTTTCATTTAACATGACTATCTCCATGTTAGGTTTCTTTTCTCTAGTACTCTGTCTTGAGAATTCTGCCTTTATCTCTTCAGATGCTGAGGGTATCTGTCAGTCTTTGTCTGACACATGGGTTCTCCCACTTGCACGACAACCTGGACAATCTCGCAAGACGTTAAGGCAGAGCTATGGACACCCATTTCTCAGGGATCACTCTCCACTACTCCGTGATGCTCAATGACTTAGAAACCGTTGTTTCATGTGCTTTGTCACTTTTTGAAGGTGTTTTAGGTGGGAGGGTAAATCTGGTATCTCTTATGTCATTGTGGCTGAAAGAAGGAGTTCCAAATAATTCTAGTTATATTACATTTTTTATTCTAGACATTCTACGTACAGAAAGAAGTTGAAACATAAAGTCTACTCAGTTTGTGGCTGTGAACAAATTACAAATGATTCTATAAAGGGATCATTATCAAAACAGATTTTTATCATATGTTTACTTAATGGATTATAGTAAGGATTAAATGAGAGGTACTGCTTCATAATGAAACCTGATTGGACATTAGGAATGAAATGATGGTACATTACAAGCCAGCACAGTTACTTAATTATATTGCATATGATAGATATCCATGTTTCCACTCACTGGGAGGTCTATTTTCTTTTCTTTTCTTTTCCTTTGTCTCCTTTTCTTTCCTTTTCTTTTCTTCTTTCTTTCTTTCTTTCTTTCTTTCTTTCTTTCTTTCTTTCTTTCTTTCTTTCTTTATTTCGGTATAACTGCCAATTATACAATTATACAGTATATAATGGGAGTTCCATTTTTCAAACCAGACCCATGGCAAATGGCTTGAGAGCCCTTGTATTAGATCTCTAAGCTTACTTCCAAATGTGGGAAACTTTAATTCTCTCTTTTTATTAGTAACACTGTATACCTATGTATAAAGTGGAGGGATATTTGCATAGGATTTTTTTAAAGAAGTAAACATACAGGATTGACTTACACAGATGATGATGGTAACAATGACCTTCTTAGATTTGCACACATCTTTTCACTTCTCAAGGTTCCATATCTAAAATTTATTTTCTCAGTAAAATATATAAGACGATCATAAATGCGCCCAGACTTACATTTCTTAGAGCTATTTAAAAATTACTCAATTCCAATAGTGACCCAATGAGTATCATTACTCATCAATATGGCTTTAATAGCAATGCCAGAGGATTTCATAAAATAAAGTGAATATGAGACTGGTCAGGTTAATGAATAAATTACATAGTTATTCCATTTATCAATATAATTACTATCATGAGTAATAGGGTTGGAAATAGCAGCCTTATAAGTCACATCATCAAATTCACCATGCAAAATCAGAATTTCCCCTTTAGCCTTTTAAACAGTGTCCATATTCAGCCCACAAGGCATTGAGCTGTGCGGTGGCCTCTAGCCTACTTAACAGGGAGCTGAGCCGGGGCCGATACATCATAAAGAGAAGAAGGAAAATGACAGACAGCCGTCCAGCTGTGTAGCACATGTTAAGAACACTGGATCCATATCTTACATTTTTAAGGACATTGTAATGCACTTCAAGGGGTGGTGCTTTATCTTCAAACATGTACCTTTGACTTTTCCTAAGACTTTACATTTCTTATATTTTACAGCTTGACTGTTTTAGGACGTAAAGGAATGAGAATTCTAGTGTCATTTTAGTATTGGCTTCTTATAAATGACTTAAGTATATTCTCACTTTTTTTTTTGTTTTGCCATTTAACATATTTTGTGCTTGTGTCGGTCCTGCTTTCCCTAGAAATATAGCTTGAGTTTTCTGTATTTACTATATAAACTTAAGTCTTTCAAGTATCCAACGCCTTTCATCTGATATTACTTGCAACTACTAAGTTATGAGCTTATAAGGACTGTTAATAGTCAAGTCAAAGAAATAGCTTTGTTTTGAATATGAAACAGGAGGATCCATGAACTAGGAAATTAATATACCGTGGGTGCCAAGGGCAGGCTTCCCCCAAATGTGCCACAATGGCATATTGATTTATTTTATTTGATTTTATTAAGTATTTATTTTTGACAGAGAAAGAGAGAGAGAGAGAGAGCTAGTGGCGGAGGGGCAAGGAGAGGGGGAATCTGAAGCGGGCTCTGTGCCCACAGCAGAGAGGCTGATGTGGAGCTCGAACTCAGGAACTATTGACCTCGTGCCCTGAGCAGAAGTTGGATGCTGAACCGACTGAGCCACCAGGCATCCCCGCATATAAATAAAAGTTACTGAAGTGAAGGCCTGTGCAAGAAGGACACTCAGACCCTCCCCTGTCCTCCTGAAAGCAGGAAATGAATCTCCCATCTGAAAGGCACCCTCCCGGTACCGGGAGGTAAAGAGACATCCTATCACAAGACGTAGGACGTTCAGAGCCCGGAAGGCTGTAGAAACAACCCTTGTTACATGTTACTAATTTACTATCTCAGCTCAAATTCTGTTTCGAATTCCTTACTAACTGAAGTTTCCAACGGTTTCTTTGTTTTGTCAAGTCCTCACTGATTGATTGTCTCTTTGTCTAGAAAGTATAAAAACTGCTTGCATCTTGGTCATTTTTTCAGGTCTCAATTTCATTTATTGGGCCTCCGTGTGCACATAATAAAACTTTGGGCTTTTTTTCTCCTGTTAAATTATCTCTTGTAAATTGAATTATGAGTCCCGCTGGAAGACCTTGAGGGTACAGAAGAATTCCTCCTTTCTTTCAATACACACCAAGCATTTCCATGATTTTTGGCCCGTGTGTATACAATTGGTCAATCAGTTCATTGTCTTGACTGAATTGGTTAATTTGGTGAAAATCGTGGATCTTTACAGCTGTAGCTCAAGCAAGCCTGTGCGTCAACCACTGGTTCAGAAGTTGTGAGTGGACGTCACTGAATTTCATTATGTGTATCAGACAAGATATGTGTGGTTATACCAGAATCATGATAGCCACAAAACTTCAATGGCTTACCACAATAAAAGGTTTACTCTTGCTTATGCTGTATGTAAATGTCCAGCCGGCAGGGGGCCCAGATCATCCTTGTTACTCAAGACAAGGACGGAACAGCCACCATCTCAGATGTCCTTGGTTACTTTACCTTTGATAATAGTCTTCTGGAGGGTATTGTCTGGCAATTAAATCCCCCAGCTGGGAGTGATCATACATTATTCCTGCTTACAGCTCATTGACCCGATCTCATGAGACCCCACTCAAGTGCAAGTTTAATTTTACCATGTGGCCAGAAGACAGAGATTTGGACATATTTGGTGAAGACCACTCATGACTACTTCACATTATATATGTTTTACGCTGTATGATTAACTAGGGAAATTTGCTTAATTAAATGTATAAGCCTCAGTTTAAAAGACAGAAACATGATTTACAAGTCTCACGTTCAAGTCGAACGCCTCGTGTTCAAGTTAGATGTTCGAAGTTTAAAGTAGACATTTCCTGCTCAAGTTAAAACTACCTCAAAAGCCAAAACAAGGTAGAGCATTTACATAATGTATAAAACAGCTGCAGGAATGTTCTGAGGAATTGACATTCACATTTTACATCAAAATTGTCCTACTTAAAAAAAAAAAGTCTATATTTATTCCTCATTGAAAATGGGCAATATTCATTTTTATATTGACTATACAGAGACCTACTTACATGATACTAATGAAAATTTTCTCTGAAAATTATTTTTTGCAATGGTTATGCATATAAAAGTGTTTTGCGTCACGCTTTTAAAGATTTTTTAAAGTTTTATTTAAGTAGTTTCTACACCCGACGTGGGGCTTGAACCCACGACCCTGAGATCAAGAGTGTCACGCTCCTCCAACTGAGCCAGCCAGGCACCACTGTTTATAAAGTCCTTAACTAAAAAAACATCAAAACAACTTCATTTCTCTTATTTTTTTAAACTACAGGATTGGAGTCTTTTCATTCAAAAGGAACTGAAATATGGGAATGTTGCTTTTGGTAAAATTTAGCAGAGCTTAAAAAATAGCCAGGAAAATGGAGAAGGAAAAGTTTTACCCCTTTGGTCCCAGCCTCTTCACTGAAAAAAAAAAAAAAAAAAGAACCTTATTTTATGTGTGGTTATCAAACGTTTTTTGTGATTTTTTTCACAGCAAGAAATAATTTTGAATTGCTATTTAACATGTGTGTGTGTGTGTGTGTGTGTATGCCAAAATGAACGTATCATGAAATAATACCTACCCTTAATTTGAGATGCTTTCCTGAAACTTCCTATTGTATTTTATTACATTATACTAAAAATAAATCCTTCTTGTGATCCACTAAATTTATTTCACAGTTAATTGAATGCTATCTAAAGTTTAAAAAATATTTTAGAGAACTCAAGCAATATAATTGTAAAAGCTTCCTCAACCAAGGAATATGTACAATGGGACATGTGAATATTGAAAATATCAAATTCTAATACTAACATTTCTATTAATAACTGCTCAGGGAGGACAGAGGAAAGGTCTGATTTACTATTGTAGCCTCCATGCCTAGTACAGGGTCTGGATAGTGTAGGGGCTCATTGTTGAAGGAAGGAGTGGGGGAGGGAGGGAGGGAGCGAGGGAGGAAGGAAGGAAGGAAGGAAAGATGGAAGGAAGGAAGGAAGGAAGGACAGAAGGAAGGAAGGAAGGAAGGAAGGAAGGAAGGAAGGAAGGAAGGAGAGAGGGGGATGAATATTGTTTCACCATGAAATCTTACTATAGGCACACTTCTGGGGGTGATGAAAATATAACTCATTGACAGTTCCTCAAAAAAACGAAACCTAGAATTATCCTATGATTTCAGAAATTCCATTTCTAGGCTTATACCCAAAATAATTGAAAGCAGGGACTCAAACATATTTGTACGCTCATATTCATAGCGTTATTCACAATAGCCCAACGTTGGAGAGAACCCAATGTCCACAGACAGGGAGATGGATAAACACACAATGTACATACATACAATGGAATTATTCGGTCTTAAAAAGGAATGACATTCTGATGGATGCCACACATGGATGAACCTTGAAAACTTCATGCTAAGTGAAATAAACCAGACACAAAAAGACAAACGCTGTACGATTCCATTTGTATGAAATATCTCAAGGGTGGCAAATTCTTTGAAACAGAAAGTAGAATCGTGTTTATCAGGAGCTGGCACAGGGGGGCTGTGGGGAATGGGAAGTTACTGTTTGATGGGCACAGATTCAGTTTGAGATGAAAAAGTTCTGGAGATGGGGATTATGGTTTCAAGAAGGGGAATGTACTTAATGCTACGGAACTGTCAAAACAGTTCAAATGGTAAATTTTAGGTTATGCAGGTTGTACCGCCATAAAAATATACCAATCGTTCCTACTGCCTTGGACAGCACTTTGCGTTTGTTACGGTTCTTTAAAGATCCCCAGAGTATTTAATATGTCACTTGACACGCCCGAAAACAGCCCTTCAGTCCGCACGGCGCATCTGTTCTTAGCCCATTTTGAAGATGAGGAAATCAGAGCTGGGGAAGCTTAGGGGGCTTGTCCAGATACCCAGCTAACAAGTAGAGGAGTAGAATCTTAAACTCCTCCCAACTTTTCTGACTTAAGCACAACATTCTTCTCTGACGCTCCATTCAAGCAACTAATCGTTACACGGGGAATACATTCCAAGAACCCCGGTGGATGCCTGAAACCAAGGGTAGTACTGAATCCTGTGTAGACTGGTTTCTCCTATACATGCATACGAATGATAAAGTTTAACTTATGAAACTAGGCACAGGAAGAGATTAACAGCAATAACTAGTAATAAAATAGAATGGTTTTAACGACATATTGTAATAACAGTTACAGAATATCTCTCAAAATATCTTGTCCCGTACTCACCCTTAGTCCTGTGATAACATGAGATGATAAACTGCGTCTGTGATGAGACACAGTCAAGGGAACCACGTAGACATCGTGAGGCAGCGTCAGGCGACTGGTGGCCTTCTGATGCTGCGTCGGAAGACGGATCATCTACTTCCAGAGCACCCGGACCACGGGGAACCTGAAACCGTGGAAAGCGAAACCGAGGTTAAGAGGGACTCTTGAAATCAGAGATCTAGATTAAACTCTTATTTCTAGATTAAACTCTTACCACATCGCATTCAGATAATCTGCCTTTAAAATTTAAACCTTAGATCCGATAGAAATCTTTGGAAGGGGATGACAAGTTAACCTATCACAAAACAAAGAGCTAGATTAGATAACACTCAGACAACTGACTAATAAATGTATTAGATTTAATGCTCAGAATAAAATCCAGCCAATTGCCCCAAACAAACCTATTCGGAAACATAGCCAATGTCTTCCTTTACTGCCGATCCTTCCTCTCTCATCTGGACACAGATGCTTGTTTTTTGGCCAGTGGTATTTGTTTCGTGTTATTTGTTGGTTTTCCCTGCAGTGAACATGGGTGTCAGGAAGCTCTTTTCTATTGGTGACTAAAACCCACAGCAAAACAAACAAACAAACAAACAAACAAACAAACCCACGAACTCAGAAACAAGACCAGAATATGATCATATTGTCTGCTTTGTACATATCCAACATGTATTAAGTCTCCCTCTCTCTCTCTCTCTCCCCCCCTTTCTCTCTCACTCCACGCCTTACTCGGATATGAAGTCAGCTTTTCCAAACTTGTCGAAATGCAACAAATACATTTGAGACATCTTTTTGAGTTAATTCTGAAACACATAATTCACTGCTCAGCCATCACTCCCCCACGAACACAGTGCAGTAGTAACATGGGTGATCAGCAGAATGAATGCTGCAAACTGTCAAAATGATCTCCTCTTGCTTTTAGTCCCTGACACGTTTGACAGGTACAATTTCTTGGAGCTTCTTTCATTATTTCCGAACAGAGATGGGCTGCAATGAAATCCCCAACCTGCCTAGCTGCCTGTGGCACGTTCCAAAAATATCTAACCTACCTCTAGGTTCGCAGGGAATTGAAAAGAAGACTGAAAGTTCCTCTGGACTTTCATACAGATGTCTTCTGATAGATGTTGCCTTACAAACTCTACCTGTCAACAGACACGACCCCTTGGTGGGAATCAAGATGGCAGTAAGCCTCTTTGAAGGTTTCTTGCTATGAAACAGGCTTGTCCATTCTTCTCAGACCTTACTAGAGTAAAGAAGAAAGCCATCCACTTACCTCGTTATTTTCTTTTCATTACCTAAGAGTTCTAAGTAATAAAGCAACAGAGATGACGGGACCTAGGTATTTATCCACAAGCCGTCCTCCAATCTTTGATAGGACACCTTCCATCGTTCCTCACTCTCAGATTCAGCCCCAGGGGCTCCCATAACACACTGTACCTCTAACTGCACTTACGAACACCTGACCAGTTCTGTCTATGGTTTTATCAAGCTGACCCTCATATAAGCTCATTTTTGTATTCCTAGCATTTGGCACGTAATAGGTACTGAAAAAATTGTTGTGAATCCGGTTTAGTGACGTAAAACATTAGGGTCCTAATAAGTTATCTAAAGGATGTTAATAACTCTGTACACATTACATATCAGTGGTTAACTGCTTACATTCATTTTAAATAAAATTTGGTAAATCTAATATAAATGAAGTTGGATGCATTCTAAGATATCCTCGGTCTTGGAGAAAATATAACAACTAGTTATTACTGAAAAATCAATTGTGGTCACTCTCTTTTCTTATTGTTCTTCCCCTAGCTCTAGGCTCTCGTTTCACAACTTACTGAAGGTCCAATCCGTTATATTTTTCTACTTCCTGGGGTGACCACAGAGTCAAATGAGCGGGAGAGATTGGGATGACCTAGAAGTTGAGAGGGTTAAAAATGGAAAGTGAGGTGAAAACTTCACGGTCTAGCCAATTCCAGCAGGTGATCGTTAAGATACTTAAGGGCTACGGCAGCTCCACATGACTTTGACCTGAGGCACACAAGTCATATAAAACCTGCCCCCCAAGCTTAAAAATACATAAGAAATAAACCCTTTTATTACAGGAATAAATATCAAGTGTTTCTTTATCATCTCAGAGAGTTTAATTCAGATGGAATCAATACACTTGGGCTCAAGTGTGCTGCACAGAGTAACTAAAATCTGATTCTATTCCTCATTCTTGGGTACAGACTTATTGTAAATATCTGAGGGTGTGCATGATAACATCTAATACGTAGAGGTATCAGGATATTAGTTTACATTTCTTGGTCATCCCCTTACCAATCAAGGACATGTGGAATCTCACCTTGTCCCTTTTTAAAATTTTTAAAAAAATATTTATTTACTTTTGAGAGAGAGAGAGACAGAGTGCAAGCAGGGGAGGGGTAGAGAGAGAGAGAGGGAGACACAGAACCTGAAACAGGCTCCAGGCTCTGAGCTGTCAGCACAGAGCCAGTCGGACGCTTAACCGACTGAGCCACCCAGGAGCCCGTCAGCTTGTCCCTTTAAAAACACCTTTATCTCAACTGTTAACTCTGTACACATTATTTGTATTGTGTTTTCTTCACATGTCCTCTCCAAACACACACACACACACACACACACACACACACACACACACACACACACACCACATCGCATCACAATATATTATTCGTTGTGGTCTGAATACATCATAGGCTTCTTTGGTCCCCCAGCCAGGCTAATTCTGTGTCCTCCTTGGAGTGTTCTTTATCTTCCAGTTTTTCTGCCTTCTCTCCCTTCAAGGTTCAAGTTACATACTAATTCCCCTGGGACCACCTCTCTAAATAAACTGGTAGCTCAGAGTACTCCCCTAGTCTATACCCTGAAAACACTTTTTGTGTTTGTGATATAAATTACAGCACTTTGGCCTTGGATCATATTTATA